AATGTTCAGTATTTTTGATACTTTGTTTTGAAAAATTTCAAATACTAAGTTCCTTTTTGTAGTACAAGTAGATTTACTTGTACTGAAAAAGTGTACTTTAAGGGCTGGACACTGAGCACAAATGTACCTAAGTACACGCGTACTTAGTATTGGTACTCAGTAGCAATGTAGTTAAGTATCTTACTAGTATAATTGTGAGTACTTCGGTACGGATACGACCGCTAATATATTTTAGTACCGGTTGTAAATATTGGTGGTGTTAAGTGAAGATAGCTATCTGACATGCTTACATCATTCGACTTTCGTTTTAATTAAGAAGGTCTCGCTGCGTATTAAAATTTGTAATGCGTTCGAGAAGAATGACGCAAAACAGTTGAATCGCTCGGTCCATATCGTTTTTTACCGATTAGGAAAAATGGTCAATATATATATATTTTGCCTTGATAAAACGCCTTTAGACAAAAGTTTTATACTCTTATCAAAACAAAATAAGAGCACCGCTGTTAAATATCATTTATCTATTTTTTCCTAGTCATCACTGTTTTATGTCTCTCCTATTATATGAACTTGGTCTCTTCATTTAATGTAGGAGGCTTTGTCAGAGGTCAAGCGTAATCTTAGATGTTTATATCTAGAATAAGTAGTAGCTTCTTTGATTCAAAAAGAACAGAAAAATGTAGAACTCAACATGAGTGCCAACTATCTGGAATGTAATACCTCATATCCCGTTAGAAAATGTCAGTTGTGAAACTTTCGAACAGCTTGCAGACTGGGACACTGAAATCTGATATTTTTCTCAAGAAATTGTGAAAATTCAAGCAAAATTGCAAAGAAAATGCTTTATACAAACATCACCTTAAGTTGGTGAAAAGAAGCTAATAAATCTGTCAGTCTTCACTGATTTCAAAGATTTGTTGACTTGACCAGTGAGAGGCCAGATCGATTGAAAACTTGTAGACTGATCACAACTCTGATTTACGATTGTCCTTCGGTGGTGTATTTGTACACTTCCAGTCTCTGATAAAAATGAATTAAAAGTAGCCAAATCCTTTTGGTTGTTACAGTAATGACGATATTCCCTCGACTGTAGGGAAGGTCATATGGAATAAAATGCGGTTGTATGAGTGTGTGGGTGTATGTATCAGGGTCAAAGGTAAAAAAACACAAGCCGATGCCATTCTTATTTTTCGAGTTGAAAATTCAGCCAATTAGGGGTTTTCAATGTCGGACTTTCGACCAGTCAGATTCTTTCAGGCTGGAATTCCAGCCGATCAGAATTTTGACAATAGTTTGTGTAAATAAAGCTTCTCAATCAGGGTGTCTAGATCTATCGTAAAGTAAAATTGAAGAAGCCCAAAGATAAATGAGAGAGATCGTAGACGTAGAAATACCAAGAATGAAGAAATAAAGTTACACAGTGGAGCGGCTAGTCGTGAGTGGCGCCCCAGAGGGGTGCCGACGAACAACTAGCCGCTCATCTCTATTATTAAGAGTAATTAAGCACGGTTGAGACTAATTCGGGACATTCAAAGATGATTAAGCTTGCTTAAACCTGGTCACGATAATCTACTATTCAGCTGTCGTCCCATTAGGTTATTTCTTGCTAGGAGTTGAGGCAATCAGATGTTTTCAATATGTAGTGCTACGTCGTAGACTTAAGCTTTGAGCCAGGGATGTCGCGAAGCGAAAAATATGGGGGAGACAACTTTCTGAAAAATATTTCAAAAGTTGTTATAACTTATCCAAATGTTAAAAAACACATGTGGGAAATATGTGAAGCGTTTTTAAAATTTTCTAAAACATTTTTGAGAATTTTCGAAAAGCTTTAAAAAATTTCAAAAATTTTGAAAAAGCATCGAGCAGAAAAACCAAAATTTTCCAAAATTGGGGAAGTCGCCTTCACATCCCGCCGTAGTTCATGACAGCCCTGCTTTGAGCGTTCGAACTTCGGTTAGTCAGATCTTCTCAATGGTGATTCTAATTACAAAAATTTTTCTGGTGCAAGAGTGTCAGCGAAGGAACTTTTTGTTATTGAATTCCAGTTAGTACCGATAAGGTGTCTGTATAGCTCAGATTCTAGTTAATGTTAGGTTTTTCGGAGCTGATTCTTTAGCTTTTCATATCTTGCCGTTAACTATGGGTGTGACCAACCGAATATTGTAAATAAATTTCCAAGAATGGTATGAACTTCATGCTAGTATTTATCTGAGCATTGAATGTGCACTGTACTTAAAATAGAACTAGATTTGATGTAGTCTTTATTAGATACTTATTAGAAGAGAGAATTTGAAATATTCTAGCTCATGTCAAAATATCAATTTCAAACAAAAATGTGTAGTTACTCTCAATGCATAACATAAGCAATCTCGAGGGTAATTTTTTGTATTGTATATGTAGAATCTGTTAAAAAGTTATTCTGTAATAGTTGGCAGTACGATATAGAACGACTTAAAATATATATACGCTTGACTGTATATGAAATATCATCAAATGGAAAAAGAATTAAAAAATAATAAATCAGATCAGATTTGTTATTTGTAGCTAAAGTCCTGATTTGGAATACAGTCACATAAGTTTCTCTAAATTTTGCAAAAAATAACGTTTCAGATTGTTTTATATAGGTTAGCAGTTGATGACAATTTTTGTGTCCATAAATAATATGTACAATTCGTGCTTTTATTCAATATTTACCATTTTTTTTTATAATTCACTGAATGAGTTATAATTCAGACAAGGTTTTGAAACGAATCATTCGTAACAACGTTTGTTATAGGCCATTTATAACGTATGAAGTTTAATGTCAAAAATATTGCAAGGAAAAAGGATTTATGAAGGGTTCTTGTAGTGAATCGTCGACATAGACAGAATGTGTATGTTATTGACGATCAACACCATGAAACGCGAAAAAAAACATTGAGAATTAATATTTTATTTTGTTGTTTAAATTTTATATCATATGTCTGGAACAAAGAGGAGTGAATCCATGAAAACTAAGGCAGGTTTATATTGAATAACAGCATTGTTTTATTTTGCATTATTCAAAAACAAAAATCAACTTGGTACATGAAAAGACTTTCAAATGAATTCATATAATGAAATTTCGTCTATGCCGTATTCAATATGTCCAACAGAGTACATTCTACCAAGGATGAATATCGTGGAGAATGTTTTGACAAAAAACAATTCTAAAAATCAATTGTGTTTCAATGATTCAAAAAGTATACAATTCCATAGAATTTCGACGAATTTATCAATTATTTAGTTTTCACATGATTGAATTCATGGTTTAGTTTTTATATTTTTTACTGAGATTTATCATTCCAGCCTTTTTGTAACGATAGATAAGTTTCGAGTTCGATTATTTGCTTTGACATCTCAGTCAAATTGAAAAAAAAACTTTAAGGAAATGTTCTGGAAAAAGCAACTTTTCTAAGGCAAATCATAGTCGACTTTCTTCTTGAGCACGAAAATTTTATACGTTTTCTAGAAGCTCCTTAAAATCTATGATTTCCTGTAAAACTTTATGTTTATGATGCTGATAACCTTACATAAGGTTAGATTCACCATAGAAAGGCATCACTTAACTTCTATGTTCTTGAATCTAAGACAATCTTTTGATAAGATTTTAAACCGTATTGTCAATAATGTACATTCTTGTCATTAATCTCTCATCATAATTTTAGTGAATAATGTTAAAATTCCTGCTAGACCGCTTGACATAAATCCTTTTTTCTCTTGTTTGGATGATCTAAGTAAAAACAATTTTAGTTCGATCAGATTTTCTTTTTTTGTATATGATTTCGGTCTTGAGAAAAGTGAGATTTAATGTCTTTCGGAGAAGCTTTCCTATGCTTATTTTAATCTTAAACCTGATAAAATGGTCATTGACAATGAATGGAAATGAATTTCAAAATTCTGTTCACATACAAAGTGCATACCTGTGTAGCTTTTAATTTTGAACCAGTCCGAGCTCCGTACGTGTTTTAATGATGGAATTTTGGGGGACTTCCTGGGAGGTTATAGATAGTCTATGAGTAATATCTTGGTATTTTTTTAATAATTATATGTATTCAAATAAATCTGAATTTTTTTCTTATTATAATTATAGCTACGAGTATAATCGTAACTATTCAATACCAATCTAGTTAATATTGATCTATTTTGTAAATTCAATTATTGAATAATTAGGTTATATTGAAGAAGACAATTCAAATAATATTAAAAATCAGTCATTGATTGTTTTGAGTTTTGGCTATTATGAATTATTTAAAAAATGATTATCAATGTCGTACATATTGTGAAAGTATTAGAAAAATAGGTTTATTACTGACTACATACAAGATAAATGACTTTTTTTTTATTCTGATTGACATATAATCCATTCGTTAATTCTAATTTTATCTTTTAATAAAGAGGAAAAAAAACATCCATGAAAGATTTATTTTTCTTATTTCATTTAAAATTTGAAATAAGAAATAATTTTCTTTTGTTTCCTTCTTTCTTTTATACACATTTAAAGTGTGTGGAAATCTGACTTCTTTAATTTTCAGTATAGAATAGAAGTAATTTCTTTGAAATTGCAACGTAAAAAACCAATATCAAGAGTATTATAATATACTGATATTCGAATATTTTTTAATACAAAAAATAAAGACATGAAAAACAAACTTTGAATAGTCAATATATTTATCAAATGAATATTCCAGAGTAATGCTTCAATCAAGACTAAACAAAGAATCATCATACAACCAACAAAAATCATGATTGTTATCTTTTCATTCTCTCTACACATGTAGATCGAAAGAAAGAAAGAAAGTCCATATTTTTTTCTTTGCTTACAGATAAAAAAGAAATCGTCTATACAACGTGTGCTTCGTTTGCCCTTCGACACAAACGAAAGATAAAGTCAGGAACGAAGAGAGAGTTGATGTATTTGATAAGAAATAAAACAAGAAAAAGAACATTAGTGAGAATATAGATTACTCCATCGAGCACTGATAATGGCTACTAATATGATTGCAAAGTGAGACTTTACACCTAAAATATATCTATTGATTTATTTTATATCAAATTAATGATTCGTTCTTTATTTTTATCAACATCTAATAGAATATCAGTAGGTATAAAACGAGATAATATGCCTTTACTTGATTTACCATTTGATGATTCACAATGCAATGGAAGTAGAACATCATCATCAACAGTTCAATTCGAACAACCACCATTAATAACAACATCAAATGGAACTTGTTCACATGATAATGGTACACATTTACGTGCAAAATTACGATTTTTTTTAATGTCACCATGTTGGAAATGGCATTTAAAACGACAATGTCCATGGAAAGCATGGTTTCAATTTATTAAAATTATTATTCTTACTACACAGGTTCATTTTTATTTCTAATAAAACAAACAAAAATTCTATCGATTTGCTTTTTTTTTAGTTAATCCTTTTTGGTATTGAAAGACAATCACATGTTGTATTTATTTCTGAAAGTAATATAACATTTCATCATTTATTTATTCGTGGTTGGAGTTCAGCGGATGAAACATTACCATATCCAAGAGCATCAGGAGATTTTGCTGTTTATACTAATCAAGATTTTATTGATTCAATTAATTATGCTGTACATCGAGTAAAATTCTTGATGAATTAAATATTTTTATTTATTGAATTCATATTAATATTTAGTTTAATAATTTAACAAATATATCACTGGGTTTATTTGATTATCATGAGCATGCAACACAAAAATCATATAGTTCTGATTCAGAATCACGTGAACGTTACATTAATTTATGTTTGGATCGTTTTAAAACATGTCGAATTGATCCAACTTCACATACCTATATATTAGATTCTGAAACAGAAAATAGTAGAGAATATTTCAATTATAAATTTAACTATATTCATTTTATTTAGATTGTTCCACATTAAATGCAACAAACAATTTTAAGATTGAAGAATATTTATTAAACGTACATAATGAAACCGTAAATTATTGTGGGTAAGAAACGTTTTTAAATTATGTTTGTTTTTTTGTTTTTATTCTTCAAAATATTTTATATTTATTTTAGACTTAATTCATTAACACTTGAATTTGCTATACATGCTATTCAACTTAAAAATCAAAAACTGTTTAGTTTACCTGATTGTTATCATTTTTCAGTTAAAGTATATTATTTTAACAAAAAAAAAGAGATATTTTTGCTTTGAAAAGATTTTCTCTTTAGATAACATTTGATAATAATGCTCGAACAGGAAAAATTCGTCAACATCTTAATTCTCAAGCACAATTTCGTACATGTAATCGAAAATTAATACATCAATATTCAGATTTCACATTGACACGACGTAATTTATTGATTGTTTTGGATTGTGTGGTTTTATTGATAACTATTATCTCATTTATTCTTTGTATACGATCATTATGGTTTGGACATCGTTTATGTAGAGAAGTTTGTTTATATTATTCTATAGAACGAACTAGCGAAAAGCCGTTAACTTGGAGTGAATTACAAATTTTTTATTCATATTGGTATTTTCTTATGATAATAACAGATTTAATGGTTATACCAGGAACTATTATTAAAATTGGAATTTTATTTAAAGTAAACTGAATATCTTTAGCATAGTTTAAAATACGTATACTAAGAAAATCTGTAGTTGTTCATAGAATACCGTAAAACAGAAATGCAACCGGTCCGAATTTTTCGCGACCAATACTGATACCGATCTGAGTAGGCCAGACAGGACCAAATCGATCTGAAATCGATACTGATACTGGACTGACGAGTTGTCGTACTATTTCATCTGTAGATAGTGGGAATACACCGACAATTACTGGCTCCGATTCCGTCTCTGTCGTAAAAAATTCTGTATTGTAGGAAATCGGAAAAAAAAATTTCAGACATTTTTGTGTCAGAAAAATTTCCGAAACAATCTCGAAAACCTGTAAGTTTTTCAAAGGTCGGAATAGGTTTCCGAAAATGTTACTATCTAAAATGTTTTAATGGTTTCTGAAGCTTCAGAAACGTTTGTTTTTGGTTTCGTAAAATACGTAAGGTTTTCTAGAGTGATGGAAGTCGAGTATAATGAATTGGAGTAGAAGTGTTGCTGTTACTCTCGATAGTTGTATTTATTCAGTTACTTTTATCACTCTAGTCGTGTTTAAGTCACGAGAAACACATGCTTATATGATACTCATGCAAGAAATGAGAAATAGAGAGACACACATAGTCAAGACTAAAACTCTAAAGAAGAAGTCATACAAAGAAGAGAGAAAATGAAGTGTAACGGTTAGTCACCGTTACACAGTGAGTCTAAATATCATTTATTATTGTTTGTACATAGACTCTAGTTTCTCATGCTATATTATAACAAATCAACTTCAAATATTTCTTTTAAACAATCAAAAAACAAAAGTCGTAGAATTTCACCCTATGAATTTATAGCTTGGAGTCTTCAATCGTTTTAAATTCGTCAAAATGAAAAGCAGGTTTTGATTGTAATATTGAAATTAACTTTCATTTAGAAGTTGTACAAACATATAGAGAAGAATAATGAATATTATTCAATTATATTTAATTGTCAGTGAAAATTATTTTCGATTTTAACAGAAACAATTTCGATATTAACCGTGTATAGATTTAATTTGCTGATTGAATCATAATTTCGAATTGTTTGTTTTTTATTGGATTCAAAATCTAAAGCGAACATTTAAATTTCTTCAGAATATATTCTCAAACATTTTATAGTATTCATATCTTCAGAGATACAAAAGGAACGATTATTGATGTATTCATTAAATAAAATGTTGATTCATAGTTTAATGTAAGTGAGCGATTCAGACTGTAGTTTAACTATAATTGATAGATTGAGAATCTGTATGTTTAGCAAGCTCCAGCTGATTTTCACATTAAGATTTCTCTTTTAAGTTTAAGATGATGTGAGAAGCTATCTAAGTTGTATGGATGCAGCTTTAGAGAAAAGCGAATCGACAAAGAATGGAAGAATCCAATCAAAGAATCTTTCTGATAAATGACTTCTTCGTACTAGATATGCAGAAAACCAATATTGGTTATCTGTGTGAAGGTATCAATAAGAAAATTGATTTTTAAAAAATAAATTTACGGATATAAAAGAAATAGAGATATATTTGGTACTTGAGCAAGGATTTTGTACTTTTTCACTAGTTAATAATGAGTTCAATAAGAATATTACTTCAAAAAACAGTTCTCATAGATACTTTTTGTATGATGCTACTGAAGTAAAATGAGATAAATTGTTTTGATTGGAATAAAAATTTTCTGATAAGTATCTATGAACTGAAATGAATTATAGATTATTGATTTCGACAAAATGAATATAATAATGTATATGTTACAGGGGAAATTAAAATTTTAATTTCTCTTATAGGAAAATTTTAACTTATCCTAGCAACAATAAATGCATCATTAGTTTTATTCACAAGTATTATTATCACCATAAAAATTATTATAGTATCTTTCAAAACTATATAATCTTACAAAAACTAATATCTACGATTTAAATTAAAGTAAATCATGTGCTGTTACCTAGAAAAGTAATTAGATGTTTGCATATATACACTTTTTTTAGATGACATTTTATGCAACATTTAATATCTTTCGTTTTGCACAGGCAAGATTTTGTAGCACATTTATCATCATAAGCACATGCTTCTATAACTTGTTTGTTCCTGATGAAACATATTCCTTACTTACTTGTCTAAATGCAATGATTAGTAGATCTGTTGGATTAACGATACATAAGTCAGCAAAATCACATTTTCGATGTGGATATGTGACGAGAAGACTAACTCACACTCATGATATCATTATATTATTTATTTTGAATTGCCATAAGAAGAAACAGAAATTATGATGTATTTTTTTGTCCTAGATTTTAATGTCCTCTGCAACATATACAAAAAAATATTTGTGATTTTATACTTCTAAAATCAATTTTCTTATCGATATCCCAAGATAAATATCAAAATCAAGAATTTTGTTATTAGTACATATCTAATATCGTCCTATTTTGAGTTTCAATTCAATTATATATAAAAAGTTTGATTTCGATTATTGTGATATTCTAACACGAAACTGAACTAGTTTGAAGAATATATGTATTGATGAAGAATGTGTTGAAAACTTGAGTATTTATTACTTGAATGACTTCTGATTTCCGTCTTGTCTGAACACACTTATCATCAAATGAAGCAATCTCTCATAAGGCCTTATTTTATGATTTTTTTTTAATTAGGTGACGGATGACTATAATGCAGCTGGTTTATTACTCGGTCTAAGTAGTCTATTGTCTTGGATTGGTATTCTACGTTATTTATCTTTCTTTCGTAAATACAATGTAAGTAAATACATTTAATTATTTTATTTTAATTTGATTATTTTAGCTTTTATTTGTAACAATTTCAACATCATTACCATTAATTCTTCGTTTTCTTTTATGTGCTCTTATTATTTATTGTGGATATATGTTTTGTGGATGGATTGTATTGGGTCCTTATCATACAAAATTTCGAACAATATCAACAACATTTGAAACGTTATTTGGATTAATTAATGGTGATGACATGTATTCAACATATGCTAATTTAGAAACTGAGTCAATTTATATATGGGTGTTTTCAGAAATATATTTATATTCATTTATTTGTTTATTTATTTATGTTGTATCAAGTTTAGTTATTGCATTAATTATTGATGGTTATGATACAGTTAAGGTAATTGTTTTTTTTTATTAAATGTTCTTTTTATTTTTGAATATATTTAAAATATCATTTAGAGTTAAAGATAAAAGAAATAAATCGAGATTATTAATGTTAGATCTACAAATTCGCTTATACAACGTTGAGATATATTGAATATATTGTGTCACTGTCCGATATGGATCGATGTTTTCGAGACCCTAATCGAGCCGAGAGCGAAAACATTTCTAGAAACCCACACTAATTCGATCTACAGTCAAAAATAGTTTTCAATCAATCGAAGTGAGTTTTTTCAGAGATTGAACGTCTGTGTTTGGTGACTCCTTACGAGCTCTCTCAAAATTGAAAAGAACAAAATCATTATCTCATATAAAATTGCTGTTTGTCTTATTTAAATCTCGACATAGATCAGTATGTTGTGACCTGACTCTGTTTAATGCAATGTTAGAAATATTTTTTTTTGTATTTTGATCGGTTTTCACAATAATTTGAATGTTATTTGAGTAGATTTTTAGTCTCCATGCTGCTTTCTCTAGCTCAATTCTTGATTTACGTGGGAACGTCAAAATAAACTATTACTTTTGAATTGATATTCTATCGAACTTGTCTGAGATAGCACACCAATCCTGAGTTGTGAACTTTTCTTTCGTGTTTCTTCGAAGTTTTCAATAAACAGCTTCTTTCATTCAACAATTGAAAGAAAACATGAATATTCATGATAGAATAAATCCTGAATATGATTTATTTATTTGAACCTTTAGAGATATTATATAGATGGATTTCCGAAAAGTCGTTTACAACAATTCAGTGAAGAAAATGCTCCTCAGTGGTCAGGTTTAAATAATTGGCAAGATTTAACAACAGCAATTGGAGCACGATCAGTTTGTTTTCCATGTTGTTCCAAAACGTACGTTATAGATATAATATGTATCTTCGAAAGATCATTTCTATTTTCTCTTAGTCCGCAAAATCTTACAGATATGATAACAGCAGATGCACATCTTATGCAAAATGTTAATACATTTTCTTAATTAATCAGGTATTTTTCAACAATTGTTAATATTGATTTGCTACAGTTATTGGTTTTTTCAATTTTTACTTTTTCAAAACAGTTTAATCTTGTTGTTTTATTTTTTATTTTTTAGTATTTACAAATAACAATCAACAACTTCATATTTTGATTTATTTAACGATGTTTATTATATTATATAATTTTTATATAAATGTCATCAGTTATAATTTAATCTTTGATTTTGTTTTTATTTCTAAATGTTGCATTTATTTATACAGCAAAGATTTCAAAGCTGACGTTTGTAATGAATTTTTCAGCAATGTCTTTAAGTAATTTGTGCATTATTGAATAAAATTCAATACATTATTAGTTTCTTAAAAATACGATTGACAATCAAAATAAAATATAATTACTTTTTCGTCCTAGAATTTTGTTACAAACTTTGTTAACTGCATGTTCAATTGTTTTTCAAAAGAGCAATCGACTAAAATTATATTAATATCATTTCATCTAAAAATTTGTACAAGAACTGTTGGCTGATATAGTAAACTATATATTCTTTTTTTGAAGAAAAGCATTTCGCTTTATTTAGTGAAGATTGACATCTTCATTTTTATTCAGAATATTAGATACAAATGTCACACGAACTAACATATTCTTTTCAAAATCTTCTGAGGTCAAACAATTAGATGGTAAGATCTTACAAGATCATATCTTCGATTTTGTAAGATCAGACAAAATCGTGTTCTCAGAAACCCTATGTTAGTCATGGAAAATTTTCGAGTGATCCATTCTGTTTGCCGTCATATGTTGCCAATATGTAGAAGATTACTAGAATAGCATAGCCTCTGAAGATTTTCTGTTGTTGCTCAGATTTGGTCGACAGAGCGACTTTTTAATAGATTCTTCGTGCACACAGTGGTCAATTTTCATCGAGTATATGGACATGGCTTATTTTCTGTCAAAATCGCATGTTTTTCATAAAAATGTTAGCCTTTACTGCTCAGAAAGGAGTGACTAATGAAAAAAATGAAATGAAAAAAACTTTTTCCATGGAAAACTTTACCCAAAATTTTTGTCAAACGCTTTTTATTTTAAAAAACTAACATATTATATTTCATTCTATGCAGTTTCTCGAACTAATTCTGAATCTGTCGTTACTTTTGTCTAATGATACTTCTGAATCAAGTAAAGCGTTAAAAACCATGAAAAACCACAGTTTTTTAGAAAACTTGTATCTCAATCCAGAAGTATTTGGGCATCTTTGTGCTAACTGAGAAGACGTATCAGACAAAAACAAAACATTGTGTGAAAGTTTCGTAGGATTTGGAGCTTTGCTAAAGTGTGCACACCCACTACACTCAATACGCCTTTTTGGAAAACTCTTAGTTATGAGAAAGAATGCATACTTTTTCCAATAGAGCAAGTTTTAGGATATAGCGTTTGTTATAGAACGATAGAGCAAGAGCTTTACTTTCGGCATCTGTATGTCAGCCATATATTTCTCGCCTCGTTGGATGGCAAAAGCGTTCAATGCACCGCTTATGTTACCATTTTGTTAGCGTTCGTGATGAATCATACGAACGGTAAACGATGATTTAGATGCACCTTCTAGTCTAATTGGCTTAGGACATCCACCCGGATAGCAGAAGGTATGGCTTCGAGTCCCATGAAGCTCATCTTTTTCATCGTTCTGTTACATAACATCAGTGACATTGCTTGTCTCTTTCGTTCTACACATATGGGAGCTAACACATTTTACTAGAGATAAGACTTTTTGATATCCCATTCATAAACCGGACATTAATGGAGATTCTGATTCTTTGTATTAAATATTCTTCTGATTTATTTATTAAATTTTATTCTTTATCGCTTCTTCTGTACGACATAGGTGATCACAATGATCGTATTCGTAAAGGTGATTAGTATAGCTCTTTCAAGTTATTCTTTTTTTTTTATTATCTCAGTTTGTTCTTGTTTCCTTTCACTCAAAACGAATATGATCGATTTTGCTTCTAATTCTGAAGCATAAGTCTAAAATTCTTCTTTTCTTTTCCTATGAGAGAACTTTTCAAACTGATAACCTCTGTTCGAGCTCCGATTATGCTAATTTTTATGGTTGATTGTGCAGATAAAAATCCTAAATGAATATATGCTATTAGCGCTTTCTTTTTGACTTATGATCATGTTACTGAATTTCCAGTCTATTGTTGGAAACTACGAGGAAAACGCATTCAAAGAACTTTAGTGGGAAATTTTACTCTGGAATAGACTTCACGATCCTTATAATATCCTGAAAGTTACAACAGAAACGAATGCTTCTGTCTGAAGATAACAAAGTTGCAGAGATTTAGTGTCTCGCAAAAGATTTGAACAAGTCCGGTTTTGTTTTGAGCATAACATATCGTGAGAATAAATTAACTATTTTATTGAACCATGCAGTATATTAAAAGGATCATGAGATTTATGTCTGGGTAAAATTGCAGACTAAGGATTCCTTGATTGAGTTTTCCACATAGTATTCAGCAATAAGCTGAAATTTCAGTAAAATGATCATAATTCAAGAAGAAAGTGCTAATGGCACATACCCGTTTAGGATTTTTATCAGCATAATCGATCCCAACAATCAGCAAAATATGAGCTCGAATGAAGGTTATCATTTGAAGGAGTTCGTTCGTTAGCGAAAAATATGATCGAATTGGTTTTTTTCCCACAAAACTTTTTTAATTGTTTGTTTATTTTCTTTGATTTAAAATGTACATGATCAAAGTTGCTTGTAGTCTTGAAGCATAGATTTAAAATTGTTTATTTCTTCTCTTTTGAAAAAGAATACGATCCTATGTCATATTTTATACAAGAGAAAAAAAATGCGACATTGATTGTATTAATGCTAGATCAATTTTTATTGATTACAGTGAGTTTCAATCGATTCCTAATTGATTTTTATAAAGGCATTAGAAAATGGGTGTTTTTGAACTTAAATAGAAAATAAAATTGGATACATTGCAAGCCAAGCAACCACTCGATAGATATTTCGAGGTGCCGATTTGAGCTTGTCGATAGATCGATGGAGCTCAAAATTGTTCACCTGTCGAAAAGTGGCACTCTGAGGATCGATCTAGAGTGCAATGCTCTCGACACATCCCTCTTTCATGAATTTCGATGGGTTCCGACCGGGTCAAATTAGCAGAGGTTCGAGCGGTCAGTATTCAGAGTACTCGAAATTTTATAAAATTTTCAAAAAATATTTGTTTCATGCACCCCATTTTTCTTGAATCCGCGAGACCTATCGGGTATTTTTTTTTCAGAAGAAAAGATTCGAGCATATGTACTTACCATTACAAAGCGTGTATAGATCGGATAAACTAAGTATGACATTTAAGTCTTTTTTGAAAAAAACGACGTATTATCATAAAATATATATCATTTCAACATTTTTTAAAATTTTCTTTGAATATATTTTCAATTAATTTTTGTCAAAAAAAATCACGAGATATGTATTTCTATTGCCGATGATTGACAAAAGCAATTATATCTTTTATAGGTTTTCTTGTGTTACATAGAAGATTTATGCTTTAGCATAAACTTTATGTTAATTAATTTGACTATGTAAAAAAAAATTATAAAAGAAGCCTTGCAACTAAAACAACGATAAATTTCACTGAACTATTTTCTTTCAATTTAGAGTTTTCAGCTATTGAAATAGTTTTGAGGACGAAGAAACAAATCGACCGTTCAAGATCATCCCATCGATTAATTTTTTGCTAACAAGTAATCGCAAATATGTTCTTCTCTTCGCAAAGTCGAGATCTCGATACACCTCGAGTGATTAAAATGCATTCAGAGAGTCGAAAATGAATGTGCGATGAGAAAATGTGTCCGAGGGCTCAATATTCGATGGTTTCTGAGGAGCTCAAAGTGTGAAGAGAACAGGAAAAAAAATTTTTTCGAGTTTCGACCATTCGTCGTACCCATACTTAGCTTTTCGAGATCTGCTTGGAAATGACTTAAAGTCTTCAACGAAGTTAATGCATTAGAATGCACTGGAAAAGTGATGAATCTAATTACACTATAATGTAACTTATGCCATGCATTATGATATGTTACTTATTTTAATTAATTACAATTCATGCATATATCAATACTTTATAAGGTGTGATATTTTCAAGGAATTAGAACGCGTGAAATAGGTGAGATTATCATATAATTGCATTCATTATTTTCATATGATAAAATAATACATTGTAATATCCATTATTTTAAAAATCGACTGCATGGGAAAGGACAATGAATATCTGCACTGAGGTGAATTGGAAAGTAGCCTGAATGCGGAAAACTTGAAAGTGCATCTTCGAGTTATGGCTGGTTCCTATTTGAATTCCAACATTGTCAGATGCATACTGAGAAATTTCTCTTACTAATTTATGATAATGAATGTTTTTATTCAAAAGCTGACTGCTTCCAGTATTCTACTTGAATAATGCATGGAATAAAAATTAAAAACAAAATCAATGCGGCGTGCAATTTCACATAGTTAAATGAGAACACAGTTGGAGAAAAAAGAAGAAAATTAAAACAACATTCACATGTTCATATTGATATTTTGAATTGCATGTTTCTCTAAAGTCGCTCCACGCATAGTTAATTTTTATTAATAAATTAAAATATTCAAAACAGACGAAGATGTAGAAATCGTAATTAAAAAGTAGGAGTAAAAGGATAATGATAGAAGAAGTCATTTTAAAGAAGACAGACAAATTTTTCAAGTTTATATTAATCTAGAATCGAAAGACTCGTGTAAAACTGAATCTAACAATAGAAAAATTCTAATTAAAAAATTATTTAATATCAAAGCATATATGAAATTATCTATATTATCAAAAACATCTTTTGATGTAAATGAATGTCAATGAGAAGTTCAGTATGTTCGTTTTCTAACACTCTCTAATCTCGTTAATGCTATAGTAGTGACATTCATGCCGAAATTGAATTTTTCTTTTGGTTTCATATTCCTATGGT